AAGATTAATGAGAGCACTGAGACAAAAACCAAACAGAAAAGTTACACCAAAACTCTGAGCTGAAGACGCTAAATGCTTCATATATCTAAGAGGAACTGCAGAGTCGGGTGATTCTTTGTGGGTTTATCACTACAAGCAACTTCATTCAACATTACACACAGTCATTTGATCCTTCTCTTATTAAAATATTGATTAGTGCAGTTTTAACTTTAAGCTAATGCATGTATTTCTTCACCTGGATAATGAAAGATGCACTTACTGCTTATTTACTTTACATTAAGGTATTATTAGTGGCACAAATTTCATGGGACCACATTATATTTAATTACATGATGTTAAACATTAAATACTATTTCATGTTTGTCTGATGATGTATAGTATGCGTTTGATGCTAATGGGTTCTACATTTTACAATGCTTAATCATGAACTTAAAGTCGTATTCTTTGTTATAACAAATGCAACCACTTTTAAACTCATAAATAGCCCATTTATGCAGGGTATCATGCCTGGGAATTGTACTAAATTATGAATGAAGATCTAGTTGTCCATTGGCTGCCAGTCAGATGAGACCCTAACCTTAACCTCTAAGTTAGTTAGTCAGTAAGTCAGTTATCAATCCATCAATCAATACAGAATGTTACTATGTATTTAGCTGTCAGTTGTCTACAGGCAAACTGGTGAACAGGCTCAGTCATTTATCAGTGGCTGTCAATGCTGTGTGACATTATCAGCACGTATCGACCCCGTCCTGTTGTGGCCGGACGCCTGGATCAGATAGAGGGGTCTAGGCCAGGACATGAAAGAGCATCATGGCCACAGCGAGTCCAGCTTCCCTCTTTGCCCTGGTGGGGAGGAAGGGTTTGAAGTTCAGGACCCCTCTGACACAATCATTAACCTCCATCATGGTTCTCCACCTCCACCCAGCCCAGGAAGAAAGGCTAATCTATGGGATGTGTCAATAGACGACCCCTGGCCTGCTGGTTGACTGTGTGCAGGAGAGAGAGAGAGAGTGTGTGTGTGTGTGTGTGTTTAGCCTAATGTCTCTACCTAACTGTAAGTAAAGGCAGAAGCATATTCTGTCCAAAATCTGAAGATACATTTATTTCTAGTGCTTCAGTTGCTATCGGCTCACTGTGGCAGCGAGTGCTCTGGTTTCCCCCACCATCAATAACAACTGTTCGTTAATTGTCAGTTTTCAGTGCCTTTGACCGAGGCACTGACTTACATCTGGCGTTGGTCCCCATACTGATAAGGATGGGTTAAAAGCAGAGAATGAAATTTCACATACGTTGTATGTATGAAAGTTTGATCATGATTGAGCATCAGCAACAAAATCATAAAGTTTACTGGAGGTTTTCAGAGTTTAATCAAAATTACTGATTCTTACTGAAAACAAGATGAGAAAGTGTTGTCTCTATTCTGTCCATGAACCCGAGCAAAGTCAGACTGATTTTAGATAATTAGGCTTCTATCTCAAAGATGGAGTGTGCTTGTGAGAGTTGGTTATGGGGCTGTGAGATTAAGGTCCTGTAAGTATACAAATAGCAAAACATCACAAGTGTGAAATCTTGTGAGATGTTAAATCAAATAAATCTCAATTGATTTTAAAATCTGCAAATGAAAGTCTCACATGCACACCCAGTTAATTAAATCAGTTGTGTCCGGCCAATCAAAACAGATAGACACCAACTCTTGACCAACGGAAAATTGTCCAATATAGCAAATGGAGCACCATGTTTTAGCCAGTTTACTACAAATGACATACATTTAAAAATGCCTATGCAAAGCTGGATAATCAACTGGGAAAAGCTGGAAGCTGACTGAACTTCAGATTCAACGTATGGCAATTAGTTTGTGGTTATATTATTAATTGCTCATTTGCTTGGTAATACTTAGCCACCACTAAAGCAAAATATAAACCAAAATACAAGGGGCCTCACACCTGCATTATTAAATTATTACATTTTTGTAAAGCAGCCCTTTAAGTTTCGGTTTGTATTGCATTTACATGGTGCATATTCCCAAATACATCTGTGCTTAAACAATTAGAAAAATTTATGACTAATTAATACATACACATTGCACAAATAGTGGTAAAACAGTGGCAAAAATAGGGGAGTCAATAGGGGCCCACAGCGGATTCTTTCCCCGAGGCTCCCTAGAGGATAATTCTGGCTCTGTGATTATGTGAAGAATTTGTTGGTGTTTTTGCTAGCAGCACTCTCTGGCTCTAAGGATGGCCATGTCAGATGGTCCAATACTGTGGGCCAGACAGAAATATCTGGATTGCAATGAAATTTGTCCCTCTTTCGGTGATCCCCCGACTTTTCCTGTAGTGCCACCAGTAGGCTGTTATTTTTGGTTGTTAGTGAAATATCTCACCATCACCAGGTCAATATTATAATTTGTCCAATACCTCTAATACCAACAAAACAATGGCATTCCCACCAGCCTCTGTTGCATTTTCTGTTTAGTACTAATTAGCAAATAACGCACTAAAATAAGATGGTGAACATGAAAAATATTATACCTGTATGTCAGCATGTTAACATTGCAAGCAGTGCCCTGGTAAGCAAATGGTTACAGCACAACCCATAAACCATCAAACATCCTTGTCTCAATCCCAGCTGGGGACTTTTGTTGCATGTCATATCACTCTCTCTCTCCTTGTTTCCTGTCTTCCTCTTCACTATCCACTACCCAATAAAGGCAAAAATGCCACACAAAAAAAGTCTTAGAAAAATTTGTAATGCAGATGCCTTAAATAAATTTCCATCTCATAATGCAATTAAAAACCAGACATGGTCATTGTGATTAAATTGGCCAAAGGTTTTTTGGTGGGGGAGTTTTTCCTTATTAGAATAAAGGGTCTAAGGATAGAGAATACATGTGTATGCTGTACAGTTTATAAAGCCTCCTGAGGCCAATTTGTGATTTATTAAATTGGGCTATATAAATAAAATTTGACTTGATTTGACTTGTGATACGTGGCCAAAATCTAGGAAAAGCAAAATTTAAACATTATAACACTACAGCGTGCTTTTTGTGTTACAGTGATATAAAGTACAGTAAATCTGACTCATGTTAAAAGGGATCAAACCATTGCTAAAAAGATTAGAACAGCTTTGACTTCAATTTTGGTTGATGTAGAAAGCTGGTAATGTAGCATAAGACTTCACATGTGGTGCAGGGTATATTGTGCCAGTGGTACTGAAAGTACCCATTGCAATGGAACTCATGTCATAGCTTTTTAGGTGCTGAAAGACGGCTCTTGTGACATAAAGCTATCAAACTGCAAATCTGTCAGTTACGCAATAGCATATAATACACAGAGCACCTCTACCTAAAGGGGTTTTAAAGTTAGAGAGCTCCTGCTTCACACCCGATTTGTTTTGACTTGACTTTTTGTTGTGTCGAGCAAAAATCAGCATAAGCTCACAAAAGTGACGACTAATGTTCAAAGAGAATTTCTTCTCTTTTGGTGATAGTACTGTGTGTGCACTGACACTGAGATCTGAGGTTTCTTCATTTGTGCTATGTAGAAACACGGTCACAGTGGACTACACCACCCAACAGCACTTACACATACACAACAACCATACAGTCATGCATGGACACACTGATAACACACACACACTTTTAACAGTCACTTTTTTGAACTGCGTTTGTAATTGTAGCATTCACAAACCAATGTTTTTTTAAACAGTGTTATACGTCATTGATTGAGTCTGACCAACAGTTAACACAAAGTAGCCTGCATTAGGTCTTGTAGCAAACCGTAATGACATCTAATTCTGGGGATATGGGTCATACTACGTTTGCACTCATCTGCAAGAGGACTGGCTCAATGGCTAACTGCAGCATTGCAACTTAAAAAACCCACATCTGTAAGACTTTCGCAGATCCTAGAAAAGCTATTTAATGTGCATGACATCATCTCAGTGTAAAGTCTGAGTGGGTCAGAGTTGCTCTGGGCAGGGCCATGGAAAGAGACACTCAGGTTGGGCATGTAGGCTTACTCTTAGCTGTTTGATCGACTGAATTGGTTTTAAAAATTCAGTTAAAGTTTTAGTCAAACACAATGGCAGGGTTTTATAAATGTTCACAAAAAGAGAAAGGAAGCAAAAACAGGGAAGAGGTCAGGGTGGGTGGATGGTTTCCAACTGCCAACGTTGTTTTGAGCATAACTACAATCAATTGTTCCATAACTTTAAGCATATGTTTACTATTGTAACCATGAAGACAAAGCTCTTTTAACCTTAAGATATAGCTAACATAACCACACAACAAATATTGAGAGACCCCTTGTTGTGCAATAGCATGCATCATGATGGATGACGACCATGATAGGATAATAAAAAAAACATTCTGTCAACCCAAAGTAAAGTACGGTATTTATCTTAGCAGAGGAAGATGTAAATCTCTGTCTCTCTATGTCTCAATCTCACCAATCAAGCAGAAACCTTTCTTGACAGCCATGTTATTTAGTTTCTGTCGTCCTTTTGTCATTTGCCAGTTGTGCTTTTTTTCTCTGAATCACATTCTCTGTAATTCTCTTTCTCTCTCTAGCTCTCCCTGGTCTCTTCTTCCAAATAGCTCAAAGTGTAGCACTAACCACAATAACCTCTGCTCATAATGTATCTCCTACTCTGTCTCTGTGCATAAGTGTGTATGTGTGTGGCCAGCAATCATTAATTGTCAGTCATCCTCCAGTGATTGTTTACCCTACTAGTCTGCCAGTTGACCGCTGGGACGTAGATTTCCATTCAGTGGGCTGTATTGTGTATGTAAACACTCTGGGAGACAGTCACTGCGTTACTGCTCACTGATGCTTGCTGTGCGCTGATAAGGTGCATAAAGTAGTGATTTAATAATCGCTGCATGAAATTGAACGCATTTCAGGTTGAGAAATGTGTTGTGCAGTGTAAACGGAATTGAGGTGGACAAATCACTTCAGAGCTGAAATTACAAACACAAATGAGAAAATGGTAGCCGTTACCTGGATCTGACTTAGAAAAGGTGTCCATGTCTAACAGGTTTCTGCAACGAAAAGAAAGAGACTGTTAGAGATTGAAAGAGACAGTTGAAAGAGCAAGTTTTTCTGTCTTTAATGCTGAGAATTACTTTGGATACAGTCATATGTAATCTGCAGTTGCAGTTCAGTAATTGTAATACATCAGGCTTGGTTGAGACTGGCCCACTGATTAACTTAAACATGAAAACACTACTGAAGTCACAAAGAAGTCAAACCTTGACATCCAACAGCACACATATTGTACGATTTCCTGTTAGGATAAAAGACCAGTATGTTGGTTTCTTATTTGCGTAAAGCAAAAAAACAGCACACTATAACGATTAGTGTATAGTATATGTTGCAGTATGCAGTTTGTATGTAGTGTATGTCAATTGGGACACAGCGCATGTGATTGTTGGCTAACATGTTAGCACATTCAACTACACAAGTAATGCAGTTCAATCCAGTGTAGTTCACATCATATCATTTAAACTGTAATTACGAGCAGCCGAGCGGGAAAACCTGTTCATGTCAGCTTCTGACGTGTGATTCCATGTCAGAGATATTGGGAATTTCTTATACCAAAAATATCTCCCATTTGGTGAAAAGAGCTACAGACATGTCAACAAATTGTTGGCAAAATGGCTACAAATGCATCACTGCTGTCAGTTACATCCAAATGTATGTGTGTATGAATGAGTGTGAATGTTAGTTTCCGTTTGAGCACCTAGGCTCAGTGTATGAATGTGTATGACTGGTGAATGCAGATGTAGTGTAAAAGCGCTTTGAGTGGTCGAAAAGACTAGAAAGGCGCTATGCAAATATGGAGCATTTACATTTACAAATGAAATCCAGTATTAACCCTAATACAATAGATTCAGCTAATTTCACTTGGTAATGAACAGCAACAAATATGTAACACAACAAAAGAAGCCAAATTAGGCTTTTTATCTGGTGTGGCAGTGGGGCTGACTAACTTGGAAGGATGCATGAACATTCCAGGGTCAGAATAAGGTGCGTTTTTTTTCTGTTCTTCGCATTCTGCTGACATTGCATGGATGCAGCATTATACTAAAGCATGGGTATTACCTCTGAGGTGAGCAGATGTCACAGGACACCTGTGGCTCACACATGTAATGAATCTCCAATAATGTACTAAAGTCCACTTTTTTCTTTCTTGTATAATGTTTCAGTGTTCATATAGACATTTATCTGTGTCTGTGTTTCCTGTCAATTGTTTTTGGAGCTACGCAAGTACACTGAAAGCAACGTAAAACCAGAGTCACACTCCATGTGTCCACATAAATGGCCAATAAAGCTGATTCTGATTAACTTCTTAGTTTTAGTTATCATTCCTATAAGTTATGATAACATTGTTTTCACTGAAGTAGCTGAGATCTGGGAACACAATTACATTGCAACAATGAAGTTCGAATGGAGCAATAAGTGGTCATTTTACAATTCGCCATTGTTTTCTCTTGGGGGTTTGTTGTCTGACTGCTCGCGTGTCTGGCAGTGTAGAGATGTTAATATGTTCCTGGATTTCAACAAGTAACTTTAAGAGTTAATTTTCTGTAGTACCAATAGAAAAAAGGATGGCAGCCAACAGCTTTGTGACTAAAAAGAAGCTCCCATTGAAAGCTATACAGCCCTCCTCGCCTACAGGTGTTTGTCTTCCACCAGCCTCCAACAATAACTTAATTTCCTTTCATCTGAGTAAATAAAAAAACACACAATCAGTCAGTCCTGTGTGTAATTAGAGTATTGTGGCCGCACTTTTAATGTGTTTCTGTTTATTTGTGGCATTGAAATCTTTCAAGTCAGATTAACCTACAAAAAAAAATAGAAAAACTGGAAAGGCATGAGTTAAGGTGGAATCACTCACTCCCTGGTCAATAAAATAAAAGTTGACACAAAAAAGGATTTCATATTTCCTCATTTTGTAGCTGCAGCAAGGAGAATGAATCATACACACAATTCATTCATTAAATCATTGCCAGGATTACGACTCAATTTCCTTCTAACAACTTGACACATTAGTGAGAATTGACTTTGATAACAAACATAGTGTTCAATAGAGAGCTGTGGAGCAGTAAATGACAGATTGAAAAGCTTCTCTCTAGAGGGCTTGTAGCTGTCAGGGTGACAAGGAGCAAGTCAGAGCGACTGCAGGGAGCAGCACAGTGTGCATCCTCACATGTTCATGCTGGTCTGTTCGTGTCGACATATCGTATGTTCATGTTCATGCCAGGGCCTCAGTACTGGAGCCCTCCCTCGCTAAAAAAGAGTGACGGTTTATAGAGCTAAAACACAGAAGCGTAAAAGCCATATGGGTTCCCCACGCAAATGCTCTCATGCTACAGGGATTACAATGTTTTGCTGAACAGTTTTTAACTTCTACTGAAGAAATAGACCCAATATAGAGTCAAAGTGAAACCAGAACTTTCAGGTTCCATCCAAAATCCATATATGACATACTGTTGAACAACATAGCCTTGCTCAACAGTTTGTCATGCGGTGCTTTGTCTAGGGAAGGAAAACTTAAAACTTAAAAACTTAAACTTAAAAACAATTTAATATAGTTATTCATTCAATTTATCTGTTTTTAGCAGCCTAACACCACTTCCCACAAGCCCAAGACTGTCACTGGCTAAATGTCAGTAGCTTGACAGACTGCACAGTTAAGTGACAAACTATGAGAATAGACTTGTCAGTATCCTTAGACCAGACATGGCTGTAACAACAACACACCTTCTTGCTTTAAAAAAAAAGACCCCAAAAGAATAGAAAGAGGTAAATAATAATAAATAAATCAGAATATATCACATATAGTAGGCCTAAGAGAAATATTCGTTGTTAATTAAATTTTTAAAATCACAGTAGTTTGAATTCTAATAGCAAGTGTACTCATTCGTCTTAAACAGATTCACAGTAAACTTAAGGAGCATGTTCAACTTCTTCAGTAAAAAAAGAGAAATTGAGTTGCGCTACAGAAGCTAGTGGAGCAGCAGCTAGCTGCTAGCTAAGCAGTGTAAAGAATGTGATACTGAGTGAACTGTTCACAGGAATGCTGGTGGATTAACTGGGATCTTTTACTTAAATTAGATTCCGCTAGACTCCAGTATATGAGGATGCTGGCATAAATCTCAAATCTTAAAGCTCAATCGGGGTTGAGTTTTTGTATTTGGGTTAACTGACACTTCAACTACATGATTCAACAAGGTCAAGCTGCACTGATTTCTAAATATGATCTTGCTGAATTAAAATGTTTGATATCACGTGTAGCAATTCACAATAAAGCATTTGTTTATTTATTCAAAACCCAATACAGAACTTCCATTGAAAATCATCCTTGTAAATCTGAGCCGACAGGATGGCCTACAAAAATATATGTGTTTGTACTATGTTGGGCATACAGTATTTCTCTGCCTGTTTATTACATTGTCAGGTGATTACTGGTAAAGCCAGATACAAAAATATCAATTTATATATATTTCAGTCATCAATGTTTTGCTCAATGTAAGCATCATGTAGCTGTTTATTGGTGCCATATTGCTGTTATAAATATAGATGTGAGCGTGTGTTCCTGTGTGCCTCAGACTGCTGGCTGGTACGTACAGTACATCTGCAGGGAACTGCAGACATTTCCTGAGGGATTTGCTGCCAAGTCTGTTTTTCTTTTTAATGCTTAATCACATCATCCCTTTTGGATGTTGCAATGTTGCTTTTATTCACGAGTAATGGCACGTCTTACATGATGTGTGTGTTCCACAGTATGCTGAAACCGGCCTGGTGAGTGGGTATATATGGTGAAATTTGAAATAATACGTTATTATAATAGTATGTTGATGATCAAGCTGGTTTTTCATGTAGAATGACACCAGCGGAATATATTTAATGATTAAATCTCTAAACATTACACAAGTAAATGGAATTAAAGAGTTTACCCTGAAAATAATCCCTAGACTGATGAGGCTCAAATTCAGTTTTTCTGGATAGATTTTTTTTTGTATGATTTCCCATCGAGTTGCTTTGCATTCTTCTCTTTGGGTGAACATGCGCATTGAGGGACTAATTAGGGGTTGCTTGTTAGCAGGGGATCCACTCTGATAAGGCGACTCCCACATCTATGAAATTTGAGGGCCACTGAACCACTATAGTGAACATGATGCTTTTACCAAAATAATCAGAAATGCATTCACTGAGGACTGCTGTCTTTCTTCTGAAAACTATGAAGGGTTTCGTTTGGTGCTGTACTTTTACTCCGATAGCAGAGAATCTGCTTTGCCTTTGAAGCTTAAATTCTGTGAGAAGGTAATCTCATTTACAGTGGGTAACAAAGGTTTTTGCTTGTAATGTGGTCTTGTGCTTGAGACCTTCAGGACATGATATGAGGGAAGTTGGGTATCCAATCAGAACCCTCCCCTGCTGTGATTGACATTCTCCCACTGAGAAGTCCTGGCTCCCTGTGCCCACTGACCTACCTGGCATTTCACTCTGAAAGCACCATCAATGTCATTTTTTAGCATCAGACCACCTACCACACTGTGCAGCCATCACAGCCGCAATGCAGCTCTCAAATGTCTTCACAGCACCACAATGTTGAGGTGACACTCAACGTCGTACTCACTCAATTCAGTTACCTTGTTGAACATTATTGAAATTACATGTCTTCATCTTCATTGAAAAAAAAAAACAAAAAAAAAGTATACAAATATTTTTCATTTCAAAAGTTTCACTGACAAAAATGTCTCCTACCTCCACTGTGTTGTAAAAACAACAGGAAGTTAGTTATTGTGGTTTGTGTGCTGATTTGGGCCATTTACCGAAACAGCCAGCAGTTGGAGTTTTAGCAGCACTGGCTGTGACACTTAACCCTTAGTGTGTGATGGCTGTAATTTATGTCAAACATTGTGCTCCTTCACTGAGTCATAACTCAGACATGATTTTTGACAAATATTTTCAGCATTTTTTACATCATTATACTATTGTAAACATCTCTAAATTCAATAGATATATTCACGCA